GGGGGGGGGGGGGGGGGGGGGGGGGGGGGGGGGGGGGGGGGGCAGCATGATGGCGCCATCGATGACCAGATTTTGTTGGACAGAGGCATCGTCGGTCTGTGTCGGTCTGTGTATGTTATGTGTATGTGTGTAAACCATGCGTTATTCGCCGCGGTGGTGTGTGTTCAAAACGTGCGTTGGGTGCGTGTGTTGTTGGTGTGTAAGAAACAGCAGTATGTATGATGAGCGTTGAACCTCTCGCGAAACGAAAACACAAATAGTCGACACACGGACCCAAAGGCGGGACGAGGTAGAGTAGAGCGGCCTGAGCATTGTCCCATCACAAGAAAGCCACTTGGTCCACAGATGCAGCTGAGCATGGCGTGCTCGCAAACGGCTTCGCCCCCCCCTCCCCGAACATCAATATCTCAACACCACTAGCGTCGGCCATGTCCCACGATCTGTTGCGCACGGAGGAACGAAAGTAGTCCGACGGTCCCAACATCGAGTGGGTAACGACGATAGTCGTGCACATCTCGTGCCGTGGTGGCCGTACCGACGTCTTCACCTTCAACGCTGCCATCGGGCCTTGCTGTTTTGTGATCTTCTGGGCGCATGTGGATTGGTCGCGGTTTGTTTCGATCCAGACAAGAAATTGTGGGACGCGACTGAATCAAGTTGTACTCGCTCGAAGTTTCTCCTCTCTTCTTGCGCTTGAAGTTGGGGTATGCATTCGTTTTGAACTATCTCACAACCGATGAAAAAGAGTTGGTCGCCTCCACCAATGGTGTTCATCTCGGTATCGTGTGAGAAGGTTGTCAAAGCGGCACGTGGCACACTGGCAAAGTAACGGCTTGTAACGCAACCGAGATGTACTGCTGTGCGATGCCACGGGTGCTGACAACGAAAAATAGCCGAAATTGGTTGGCTGGTGGCGTGCGAATCTTAGCCTGGCTTCTTACGAACCGTGCGTCGTCGTGCTGGCCATGAACGAAAGCCTTTTTCACTGTTGAACCACATCTCAAACCCCGTAGTTGTCAAACCTGTAGAGCCATCATCTCCACTAACTTGTATTTTTCAAGTGAGTTGGATGCGGGATATTTCTTGGTTGGCTGAAGTTTCTCTCTGTACATAGGTGGAGGGAAAATGTGAACACGTGGTTCTCATTCCCATCGTCTCGAGCCTCGCCGTCGAAAGATTCGATTACAGATTGTCGTGGCGGCGGGTGTTGATTTTTGTGGAGTATAGTCGTGCAAGCAACGCCACCGTTGTTGTTGTTGTTGTTTCTCACATTAGCTCTAAAAAAAAAAAAAAAGATTGGGAGCCCGTGGTCTCAAAACCCGGCATACACGACCCCACGAAGAAACAGAAAAAAATAGGGTACAAAAACCACTCGGAAGAGAAACAAAATGATAGAAAGAAAGACCAGCTACCGCACCAAACGAGAAAGAGCGTCGAGGAGACCGATCAAAATAAAATAAAAGGAGGACGGGGAACGCTTCCCACACCCGCCTACAACGCCGGAGGGTTCCGTGCCGGGTTCCCGCCGACCAGGCATCCCCCGCCCTGCACCACACCCCAGGGGGTGCAGCAAGACGGGGGGCGAAAAACAAACACATATATATTCCAACAAAAATAAAAAAATAAAAAATCGAAGGACAACGTACACCAGTACCAGGTACTACAGCAGTGCAGTATGCACCAGCGCATTAGTGTAGGGTAGGCACCGCACCAAAGAGGCAGCAGAGGTGGCAGGCAGCCATCAACGGAAAAAACAAAAATAACAAGGAGCTCGAGGTATCGTCCAAGATCATCGTAGAGAGGGCATGGAGAACAAGAAAGAAAGAAAGAGGAAAAGCACAAAGAGTATGCAGGGCCGGAGATAGTACCATCGGATGATACGCCGATGCGTGCTGCTTTTTGGCGGAGTAGTTATGTGTGCCTGCAGTATGTGTGTGCAGCAGTTATGTGCCCGGCCCCTCCCTGGCTGGCTGGCCATGTGGCACTCGCTCCTAAATTTATTCTGAAACCTGCACGGGGTTGGTAATACGTACTTGCTCGGGAAGCAATTTGTCGCACAAATTACAACGTCAAATGTTCACAAAGCGAAACGACTTTCCTGGCAGGATGGTAGCGGCGAAATCGACCTGGACGAACTGCGGACCGTCATGACCTCGCTCGGATACAGCCCCACCAACAAGCAGCTAGAGGACATGATGGCGAAGGCAAGCAGTGGTTCTGTTTTCTTTCTTGAGTGGTGCTTGATATTTTGTGGAGGTCGCGAAGCGTCCGCAAGTCGTAAACGCGAAATCTGCTGTCGGCCTTGAAGTCTTGAGCGTATGGGGGGCTATGGTAGCTTGGCCCACGCACTCGGGGCGGTGTGCTCGCCGTTCGACCCCCGGCTCCTTTGAGAACAAATTTGAAGACGCCATTGGGGTAACGGGCGTGGGTAGCGGAGCACCCGATGAGTGTGCTACCGCGTTCTACGGAGATAAGTCAGTCTCCTCATGTTTCTATCGTGTTTCGAGTCATAGGGCCGTGTTGTTGCTGGTCCGTTTGGTTCTGTATTCTGCGTGCGCTTTAGGGCGTTCCGATGCCATTCGATACGTTCCAATGTTCCGATGTGTCTCAAGAAAATAACGCATGTGTACGTGCCTTCGCATTTTTCGTGCCTGGCGGATTGGCGGGCGGCCGGCGGCGCTACAGGTGGACTTGGACGGAAACGGACTCATCAACTTTGCCGAGTTTGTGACGATGATGCGCAAGTGCAAGGTCGACACAGACTTTGATAGGCAAATCAGGGAAGCTTTCAAGGTGGGCCACGAACAAATGGCAGAAGTACTTTCGTGGTACACAGGACCGCATGTTTTTTGGAGTATTTCGAAGGTCGATGCCGCAACAACAATGCATCCTAGAGTACATCGGACCGAACAACACCAGACGAGAAAACACAATGGTTGCACGTATCCATCTTGCCGAATCCCGTTGCTGGCGTTGTGTTGTGACGTCATCCTGGCGACATTTCCATCGGCAACCCCGTCGACAGTTTTTCGACCAAGATGGGTCAGGGGCGATCGACACCAAGGAACTCGGGAACATCATGCGACAGTTGGGGGCGAAACTAACGGACTCGGAGATCAACCTGCTGGTTCAAGAGGCGGATGTGGACGGCGATGGCCAGGTGGACATCAACGAGGCAAGTGATTTTGAGGGCCACTGCTTCTCTTTCTTTACTAAAGTTTTTACGGAGGATTGTTGATGAGGTTAAACTGGATATGGTTCGGGTGCGCCATGCAGTAGGCGAGAGGGCAATATAGTCGCGCTTGGAAATGGACCAAGCCGTATGCACGATGTCGTCTGGAACGAAGCAATATGCATCACCTGAGACGCCTCAGACGGTGGTCGTGACCTTTGTTCCAACCCCTACCGTCGAGGTTGGCGATGATCCACTCGCATCTCTCGCATGTATCCTGGTGGAAGGGGGTGATTAGTACCTTGGTTGGGACTTCGCCATTAGCATCTCTCTTATGTGTCAATAGTGCACAGGGGCGATTGACAGCGTAGTTGGAACCTCGGCAAAGCGTATATGGGCTGAGGGCAGTGCTCCGTGCTCACAGCTGGGCTACTACCACAACATGACTCGATTGTGCGCGATTACTCACACTTTTAGCTATACTGCAGGGCTGAGGTGCCGGTGTGTGATGTTTTCAAGACGTGATGTACCATGCACACCATTCTTGATGATAACAAGAGCGCCAGCGCTTTTTTGGCGCTACAAGAGCTCCAGTTGCCGGTTTCCGCACTGCTGCTGCTGCTGCTGTGGTCGCCATCATATTCCCCAAGTTGTAATGTTCGCCTCATCTCGGTTTTCGTCGTACTCCGCCATTTCCGTGTCGTTTTTGTGGCTGCACACTGTTGGGGGATACACGGACGACAGTTTCTCAAGATCATGTACAGCTGAAAGGATGGAAGCTCCCACCTACGTTCAATTCTCCACGCGCGTCCTTTGAGGTTGCGCGTGGATACCTTTTGAGTCGGGCGTGTCGTCGACTTCCATTGTTGATCAAGATGAGAGGAACTTCAAGCGTGCGCAGCTTAGTGTTACGGGCGAGGAAGAGACCTACCCTTAGCACTATACGACGCGCACTGTGGTGGTCCTGGTGTTGAGAAGGGGTTGCATAAGCGGGGCGTTGAGAAGGTTTCCTGTTTCACTTGTCTAGCAGCGTATCCACCTCCCTGTCCCAAACATTCTTGAGCGATGACAGCCAGGAAGGTTTCGCCCCCCTTGTCCAGGCTGCCATCGATTGGCAGAGACAACGCCACGAAAATGCAGGCCTTGTAGAATTTTGATATTTTCCTTTTAAGGTTGAAAGCGGCAGAGTTTTTTTTTTGCTTGGGTCCCGCTGTGTCCCTTAGCAAGTGATGAAGGGATTGCCGCTAAACGCTTCGTCATGGGTCGGTAAGGATCGATCCCAACTACCATCATTGTTGCGCGATGATCGTGTAGCGTTCGCAGCAGGGCTACTGATTTGAGTCGGATGTGGTTTTTTGGTTCCCTGTTGTTTCCTGCCGGGGGGGGGTGTACGCGTAGGACTCTCAGGAAGTCGGGTATCACGCACTTTTGGAGATTCGAGGTAATGGTCGTGTATTTATTTGTGGTAGAGGACACCCCCTCCCTTGTTCACGCCTCCGCCGGTGCATAGACAAAACATAGGCAGTGCTTCATCGACACCATATACTGTTAAAAACGCGCAGAAAGCATTTAGAGGTTTTCCAGAGGATGCAGTAGCTTTGTGCGCGTCGCCTTCTCTTGCCAACCGTGTTGCCACGGCTGCAGCACCGGCATCGGCAGCACTTTTGACTTGGTAGTTAAGCGATTGGATGTCGATTGGATGGGATCGATTCACTATAAGCACGAGCGGGTGCGTTCGTCCTCGCATCCTGGTTCTAGTTCGCTCGGCTTTTGCGTGGAGAACATCCCACGCATGCATCCGATCGGCTGTTTGGTTGACACGAAAACAGGTTTTGGGCAGCAGGCTACGGTTTTATTGGTAAGGGTAGCGTCATGCAAAAACGCAGACGAGGATCGCCGAGGGTTGTGAGGGTTAATGAACACATGCATGCGTAACACGTGGGACCAGCTGTGGGCCACCACATTGTCTGTATCACGGAGGGATGACGGATGCCTCAACCACGTCCAGCGTCCAGCTGGTCAAGCGTCATTCAACCTTGTGCATTATTCGCCAGACATGTGAGAAGTATCTCGCACTGGTTTTTAGTCCTGTGCTGGTTATCGTGCGTGTGTATCCGAACATTATGTCATCGGAGGACGAAACAGAATGAAATGTAGATCTAAATGTTAATGTTTCGTATCAGTTTGGCAAAGGGAACAAGCAGACTTTCAAGTTGTACAATTGTATACTCCTAGTTTTAGTCCATGACGTGTATCAGGACAAAAAAAAACGCACGGTGAGTACTGCTGTGGACTTCGGGAATTGCTGACTCTTGGAGGCGCCGAGAGGTACTGTCTGTAGCTCCGAATGCTCAGAGAGGAACGGAGATGCAGAAATGGCTTCTGTCAAATGTCGTCCCCCCCAGACTCCACCTCGTGCGTCCCCTCGTCCTCTGCCTGACTAGCTAACTAGCCCAGCCCCAACAGCCCTCCCAACTGTCAACTGAACGGCCTGAGAGAACCGTAATTCGGGCGATGAACACCCGGGGATGATGTACAACTGTTCCCGGATGTGGAGAATCTCCATAGCGACCATTATTTACGCGGATCTCTCGTGGGCACCACAAAACAGCCGCTCATCGGAGGGGCACGCCTACATGATTAAGCGGAACACCTCCCTCAACAGGGTGGAAGGACTTGCCGAGGCGTTCAGCCAAGCGCCTGTATCCCGTCGCCGCTCTCCCGTGACAAAGTTAGTGCAGCAGCAACAGCAGCAGCAGGCGCTGAACGAAACACCTCTCTGTTCCCCAAAAAGGTGCGAGCATTCCGACCGTTTCGTGGTCGGTGTCTCGGTGCATAGCGCATAGCCTGACTGGCGTACACGCGAATGTGCATTTTGTGGTGGCGGTTCTGTTGTCTCCAGGCTTATCTAGGAGGGACTACGTATCGTCGTCGACCATTGAGGAACGTCAAGGCCCATTTGCACTGCTGTTGTTTCGGCATTTCGGTACTTTGTCTGCACACAAGGTCATTGGAATTTTATCAGCAATTTCCATCCGTGGCGTATGCATTGTAGGTAGTATGAGGGTTGTATTATGCAGCTGTCACACGTTGGGAGGTGCCTACCCATGGCCCAAGGTATGCAAACAAACATACGTTGTACCATTCCATTTACTAAGGTAGCATGTACTAGGTAGCTGAAACCGACTGCATTAGTTTTCGGCGCTCTGCACGGTCACCAGCTCTCATCCTCTCTTGTGTCGAACACAAACGCTCGGTTTGACAGGGGCCGCAGCCCGTCGCCAAGCAGCAGGCGGCCCGGGGGATCTAGCAGGGGCAGACAAGGTTTGTCAGCAACTGCTACTCTGCAGAACTTGCTACTATGAACTAGAGGCATTGCGTTGTACAGCGTTTTTGCGGAACATCTTCATGGAGTTACTCCGCACTTTCACGCACGGTTTGGAATGTACATCATTGCAGAATTACAGGCAATTGGAGGCAGCCGTGCGATGGTGTGTTACGTACTATGGTTATTCTGGCGTTGGCAGACGCTGCGACGGTATGACGTCAAAATATGTAATATGGCAGGGGTTCTACCGTCAAGTAGTTACTGTTTGGTCTTTACAGCTGATCTGGTGCTCGATGGAAAAAAAGGCTGCAAGCTGCAAGTATTAGTCTATTGCAAGCTTACAAGACAAACACGCAACAAGCTTAGTAGGGACAACGTAACGCTGTGGCCGGGCTTCTTGTAGTTCCACACAGCCGTTGGAGGAGAGATAATAGCAGTGGAGATCTGACCGGAGATTGTCAGGTGTTTTCTCGCTAATTAAATCCTGGTCTCCGTTGGAAGCGACGCGCTGCGAAGCTCGGTGTTAGTCAACTTGATCGACTTCAAAAGTCGCGAGGGAAGGGACTGCTGTACCCTTCTCGCGATAAGATTATCTCAGGCAGGAACCCCAGGGGGGGGTCCAGTCCCCCCCTCCTATGTGACCCCGGTTGGGTCGTCTAGCTAGTAGAAGTGGAGGATGGGGGCCAGAGTGGCAGTGGACAGAGTCCAATGATGGGAGAAAAAAAAAAAACATGCATAGATATCTTGAAACTCGAAAAGGGCATTGCGAATAGTCTACGTGGTTCCAATCGTATGCATCAGGCACCTCGGGAATGACCATGACACACTCAAGACTTGGCAACGCCGTAAGACTCAATGCGGCACAATATGATTGGCACAATATGATTTGGACGGTACTTGCAGTAGTTGGGACTCCGGCAGTTGCGTGCCTGCGTCATGTAATACTTCGAAGTACAGCAGTACTGCTGTAGTGCAACATCAGTGGTACATATGCATGTGGGATATATGGGGGGGG